TAAAACAGAAAATTAACCTGTTGAAAGAAAAATATTCTTTTTCTTAGATAGAATGGTGTTTTTCTGGTTTGCAATTAATTATGTGTTACATTCATTTTCTAAGTGAGAGTTCTGACCACAATGGATCTGTCAGAGGGGTTATGCATCTCTTGCAGGTTTGGGTAAAAGGAGAAGGGGGATTATTTGTTCACATAATGCAGTGAGACTCAATGACAAACTAAAAGGCTGAACAAACATGTAAAGATCAGGGAAAAAACTTCAAATCTTCACCTCCAGTTCCTGTTCCTGCCATCTGACTGCTGTAGCCCTCATATACACTGAGAAAAACTCACAGAGCAGTAAATGCACACAAACCCATGCAAAAGGCTTATTTCTCAGTGCCATGTATGTATTGTCTAACACAAGCAGTAGCCAGAAAGCTCAAAAAGATTGTATTTTATATAGAATATAGAATTTATATATATTCATAGAACATTTATATAGAATATATATTTACATTATGATACGTAAATATGTGCTTAAATAATATACTATGTTTAATAACATGAATAATAAGTGCATAAATATAAATTTATAAATAATACATTTATACATATATAGAATTTTAATGTATATAGGTACTGTAAAGTATAGTACTTTTACAATACCATACTTTTTTTAACTACTCCCATAAAAATCGTGTTATTTTGGAATTACACCAGTTACTTGGTGATTGCCCAGGGATTAGGACACCTCAAAGAGGAGTGGTTATTCTAAACTAAACAAAAAAAGGCCCAAAACTATTACCTAAGCAAATCACATTGGAAGAATATTGAAGAATGAGGAAGTTTAACCCCAACAAATAGAAAGTGAGTGTAAAGGCCCAGATGCAGACAAGGACCAGAGAAATTTGTTACCCTTAAATTTCCATTTTATTCCCTATATAACTTTGTCTTTTACTGCTGCCCCATTCAATTACTTGATGTCTCACAGCATTTCTATTTTTTTTTTTCTTGAAGAACCAAAGCACATCAAGACATGAATTTCTAGGTCTGAAAAGTCAGAATTCCACAGAAAAAAAAACCAGCATGTACTTACGACCAGAGGGAGTTTCTTCCCTGCGTGATGACTCCAGTGAATTTTGTCAGCCTTCGAGCATCTACTTCAATCCACTGGTAGGGGTCATTTCTTCCTGCACACCAAGCACCATCATAAAAATCATTTTCGTTAACACCTGCCTGAAAAGAAGGCAAAGCTGACCATAAATCAGAGCTAACAAACTGAAGGTTTTGCATGGGAAAAGAAAAGAACATGTCATTCATCCCACTGACTCCTCTGGCATTGTTTTAAGGACATTGAGGTCCTGACCAAAAAATTTTCTTATTCACAGAGAGAAAGGAAATTTTGGGAAGTCCCTTTGAAAACTAAGAATATTTTAAAACTATTTACATATTAATTTAAGGCAGAAAGAATAAACAGAGCTTCAGACTGTTCACCTGTCTGTGCTTGTGGCCTGATGGAGCCTTTATCCATGATCCACATGGTCTGCAGAACTTTAAAAACCCTAAAAAGCCATCTCCAGTCCATAGAAATAAAGGTCAGTGATCAGACAATCTCTTTTTCCCTGGCAGCAGCAAAACAGAATACAGGGCATAAGGAAACAGTAACACAACTTCCCACAAGAACCAGAATTATTGATTTTCATAGCTGGGGTGGCAAAGGTTAAAAATTCAGGAATGTCTGGCTGGACCCCAACTTGAGTATCTGCATCCCAATTTCTGCTGGGAAACCCACCCCAAACAGCCTTCCCAGCATTTTCAAAGAAATAACTGAATGTATTTTGGGTAAGCTGCTTTCCAAATAAACCTGAACCAGAATTTAATGAAATGTAGCATATGAAGCCTTCAGAGATTTATTTTCCTTCTAAAGCCCAGGAAATGTCTGGCACCAAGCTGAACACTGCCATGAAGAACACAGAGGCTTTGCTATGTGGTCCTCTGGGGCTACATGGATTTTTGTGATATTTCATCTGTGGTTTATGTGGATTTATCCTTGTCATCCATGCAATGCCAAGAAGGGATATTGTTAAATATTTCCCAAATGAAAATGAAGAGGTTTACACGTTATTTCTACCCAAATGGGCACTGGGTGGGTCTAACTCAAGGAGGATGCACTGGTTAATCCCTTTTCCCAGTGTGAATCTGATGGGTCTGAAGGAAGTGATGCAAAACACAGACACTGATTCCATTTTCCCAAACCTTCTCCCTTTCTCAGATATTCAGAGCTAAAGTCACCTAAAAATTATTCATTTTCCTCCATCTACCAAAATTAAATTTAGCTCCCTATTTCTCTGCATTAACTCTGTTTTAAGGCAAAGTTTGTATAAAAGTAAAAAAAAAAACATGGAGGAAAAGTCTATTTAACAACAGGAGAGAAATTCTTCAAGGAGAGCTGAACAATGGGAAAACACGAGAATACAAACACAACCACTGACCTGAGCTACAGCCCTTGGCAAGAAAAGGTTCTGATGTATTTTAAAATAAGATGGGATTGGAAGTGGCCTCAGGATTTAAAACCAAGACTTGCCAGGAAGTGTTAGGATCTCCAGAGCACCTTGAACAGGGTCCTGCTAATCCCCAATTCCTGCAGAACAAGTTCCCTTCTCTGCTAATCCTTGGTTCTTACTCCAGCTGAGGATATTTCCCATTCCTCATCAGGAAAAAGACCCTTCCTCCACATTTAAATGAGAAGAGGAAAGCAGAAGAAGGAAAAAAAAGTGATTATTTTATTAAAAAAAACCCCTCCCACCTGAATTACATATTTGAGTATCCATGGTTTCAGCTGGGTTTAAAWAAAGTTAYGCTTAAATTGAATATCAWATATGGGGAGTTTTAGTTATCCMCAGCTTAAAATAYCCTGGCCTTAAATAGAAGCAAASATACCATAAAAAGAAAAAAAAAARAWAAARAAAGAAAAKAAGAAACCATGCTGCTACTTCTTCCTGCTCTGTTGTTTTCTGACATCAGCTTCTCTGAAGCTAWAAAAAGGGTGTTTTACTAGGTAAARAGAACTCTAATCASCACAGAMTACTACTTGAAAAARARTTTAATCAATGAKAAGTTCTTTTTAGAAGTGTTTCTGAAGGGGAAAAAAAACTCAATAAATTTATCCTACAATTTCTCTTCTCAAGCTTCAAGTCTATGTTTTTTGCTGAAGGTGCTTAATTTTCCCTATGGCCACTTCAAAAAATCTCTTTTCTATAAAATAAACAAACTTATAAACTCAAACAAATATTTAATAATTAGAAACCCTTTAAATTTCTTTAGCAAAAATGTTATTTTTGAAAAATGGGAACAATTACCACCAAATATTCTGTCAAATAATACAGATCAAGATACCTTTCCTTAGTAAGGTGTTTAATTGAATTTTAAAAATCCATATTGAATTACTAAAAATAATAGATTTAAGTTATGTCATGGATACATAAATTATCTTTTTAAGTAGCAGACTGAAGGAGCTAATGAAAACTGGGAGCCAGGGCTAAATCTTGAGCAAATCCTTTTTTCCTTCACAGAATATTCAAGAATAACTCCAAGTCTAACCCAGTTTGTGTTTCACTTGCAGCCAAATGCAAAAATATTTCTCAATATGCAGTGTCTTACAAAAAAAAATACCTTTTGGACAGAGGAGAAGAGGCTTTTTTCTGTCACTCAAGAATAAGTTATTCCCAAGTGTGAAAGTTAAAAATTTTAATTCAGCTAAACCAAATCAACGGCTTATTATGTGTCCAGAAAATAAAAGGAGGGTTATAATTCCTTTACAAATAACATGACTTTGGACTTTAATTCGTGTTTTGGTTCCAAATTAGATGTGTGCACAGCAGAATAAAAACTTGCTCACATTATCACTGTTCTAAAAGCCTTATTTATAATGAGAGGAAAGATGATGGTACCAAAATATATTCAAATAAAGAAAGAAATACCACTCTTCTGCCACAAATCAGCTGGAGCAGCAGTAAAAATACACCAAATATCAAACCACCTCTGCTTAAATTCTTTCCATTCCCAGCAGGATGATAAAAAAAAAATTATTTTGCCATAAGAAGTTTGGAAGGGGGAAAAAAAAAAAAAAAAGCATTACTCATCACAGGTATTTATTTATAGCAACCAGTGCCAGCAGGGAAGATTGCGTTACCTGGTTAATCCTCAGTGTTTGGATTTCTCCAACCAGGAAAATGAGGAAGGGAAAGAAAATTTGACTAATTATTCACATTTCAACCATTCTTAATTATTGTATAAGTGACAAATACTAATGAATTTATCCCCGAAGGCAGAGAGCCTCCATTAATATTATTTTAGGCCGTGATTTTTCTTGATGATGTTAAATCACTGCTGGTTGTGCCACTTGCAGCTGGATCTCCAAAATATTGGGCTCTGCTAGGAGAGCTCCTACCTTTGAGGAATCCCAGTTTAATCACCACATTCCTGCAGGACTGGCAGCAAAATCAGAATCCCAAATAATTATTTGGGATCCTAGAAGCAGATCCTACAAGATCTGATCCCATTTTAAGCCTGTCCTCCTTTGGCACTCAGCACACACTGACTGATGCTTCAAAAATCAAAACAAGGGGAAAAAATAGAAAAGCAAAACAAACCCTCAAAAGCTTTTGAAAAATTTAATTATTTTGCAAATTCCCTGTGAGCTGAGGTAGTGCCAGTTACCTGGGGAGAGCCCTGAGCTCCTCAGCTGATTTTGCATCAGATGATGAGGCTGCTGTGCCCAGAGAGAGAGGATTTGGTGTTGTTTTGGTGGGGGGAACACCACAGTCCCATGAACATTGTGACAGCTCTGTGCTGATATCCAGCCCACAAAACTCCTTGTGTCTTCATCCCCATAGTGTTCCATGTTCACAAAATTCCAGAGCCACCTCAGCCTGGCTGTGCTGGGCTGGGTATTTTCCTTCTGAACAGCTCAAACCCCAGAGCCTTTTGCCTTCTCCCAGCCTGCTGCCATCTCCTCTGCTGAGCAGCAAAATCAGCAGAGACCTCATCACCCACCTGAAACAACATCAACCTGCTGCACCTGCTCCTGCCGAGGAGCAAATCCCTCTAAATAGCACTGAAATTCAGAAATCTTCATAAAATGAAACATTGAAACCCCAGGGACAGGGACCTGCACATTCCAGGTGCCTTTGAAAAGTTTCAGTGCCAAAATAACATTTTTAGTCTGGACTGACTGGAATTCAGAGAACAGCACCAATAAAGCGGGGAACAGAAACACGAGGAATGGGAAAATGGAATTTGGACCTGCAAAGCACCTAAACACATTTTTAATCTTAAATTAAATAAAATAGACAAGATTACATGTTAGTGACTCCCGAAGTGAAGCATTTTTTGGGCAGTATAATCCCTGCCTCTGAAAAAACTGCCTTAGGGAAAGGGTTTTATTGGAAAGCACACTTTCAATTAACCACTGTCATTAACAGAGAAAAATCAACTTGCTGCAAGAATTTCCTTGCAGGCTGATTGTGAAGGGAGCGGGGATGAGCTCCTGGAGCTGGGGAGGGAACTGGGATGATTTCCTGGGATTGGGATGATTTCCTAGGATTGGGATGATTTCCTGGGGCTGGGCAGGGAGCTGGGATGATTTTCTGGAGCTGGGGAGGGAACTGGGATGATTTCCTGGGTCTGGAAATGGATTTCCTGGGGCTGGGATGATTTCCTGGGATTGGGATGATTTCCTAGGGCTGGGATGATTTCCTGGAGCTGGGAACAGAGCTGGAATGATTTCCTGGGATTGGGATGATTTCCTGGGGCTGGAAAGGGACCTAGGATGATTTCTGGGAGCTGGGATGATTTCCTGGGGCTGGGCAGGGAGCTGGGATGATTTTCTGGAGCTCGGAATGGAACTGAGATGATTTCCTGGGTCTGGGAATGGAATTGAGATGATTTCCTGGAGCTGGGAATGAAATTCAGATGATTTCCTGGGTCTGGGATGATTCCTGGGGCTGGGATGATTTCCTGGGGTTGGGAACAGAGCTAGGATGGTTTCCTGGGATTGGGATGATTTTCTGGGGCTGGGAAAGAAAGCTGGGATGATTTCATGGGGCTGGGATGATTTCCTGGAGTTAGGATGATTTCCTGGAGCTGAGAAGGGAGCTGGGACGATTTCTTGGGGCTGGGAAGGGAGCTGGGATGATTTCCTAGGGCTGGGAACAGAACTGGGATGATTTCCTGGAGCTGGGATGATTTCCTGGGGCTGGGATGATTTCCTGGGACTCAGAACAGAGTTGCCTTTCCCTTTCCTTGCTCACAGAGCTCTGGATTCGCACCCCAAGCCTGGACATTCTCCCACCTACCCCACGAACCTAAAGGTTTCCCATCAAACCCACTCACTCCTGCAATCCCAAAGTTTCCCCTTCATCTGAATTCCATGAGCCAATAACCCTCCAGAGGTTCTCTTTGTTCAGCAGCACAACCTGGAGCCATTCAAAAAAAATGGAATTTACCTGAATATTGAGCCTGCCCCGGTGGGCCCCGAGGCCGTAGCGCTTGGCTGTGGAGGCGTGGAGCTGGAAGTCAGTAATTTTTAATGTCTCCAGACCAAGTGGAGGGCAATCTAGGCAACAAAAGATTGATTAAATTTTAATTAAACAAGAGGGGGGAAAAAAATGAAACGACACAAAACAAACAAGTATTCAGAGTTTGTGGGTTTTGGCAGTGCCAAGCTGGTCAGGTCCTCCCCAGGATAAATGAGCACAGCAGGGCTGGGATCAGTGAGGAATGGCAGCTCTCAGGAAATCAGTGAGAAAATTCAGATTTACACCGTTTTCAGGGGCTCAGATATTTATTCCTGCTCACTCTGTGCTTCACTTTTTCACAGATATGCACAGCATTCCCTACCAAGAGCTTTTCAGGGCAAAACACCGCTAAAACGCCCTTTTTATTTTTCTTTTTGGTGTTTTATTTTTCTTTTCATTTTTTTCTTTTTCTTTTTCTTTTTCTTTTTCTTTTTCTTTTTCTTTTTCTTTTTGGCGTTTTCTTTTTCATCTCTCACTTGGATTATTTTTCCTCCTCCCTGTACCGATTCCAAGCTACTGTACAAAATTATGTTTCTAATTAAAATCTGTTCTGGAAACTTCCCTGAGAATCCCTTCAGTTGCACAATAGCATCTGTAACAGAGGTCTGGGAGCCCAGAGAGCCGAGCTCTGCAAGGTGGTGACAAAAACTGCAATTTTGACCCAAGGATCGTCTCTCTAAGCCCCAAATTCTGCACAGCCTTGAGGACAGAAAAGCAAAAGTCATTATTTTAGCCAAGCAGTGCTTGGAGCTCTAGCTTTGGAAGATAAGAGGCTGGGAAAAGGCTGTTTTGATGATGAGCAGAAAAATGTTTTGCTTTTGAATCACTCACTGAAATGTCATGAGGTTATCAAAGAATGAAAGAATGGTTTAAAGTTGGGAAATCCCTCAAAAATCATCGAGTCCAGCCATTCCCCAAGGGCCACATCCACACCTCTGTTCAATCCCTCCAGGGATGGGGACTCCACCACTGCCCTGGGCACTGAGAATGTACCTGAGAACCTCATCCTGGCTGTGTCCAAATTTCAGGAGCAGCTTTGCATTATTAGGCACAAACTGGCAAAGCCACGAGATTTCCCAGATTCCTGCTTAGCTCACAACAAACTAAAATCCCTCAGGAAAAAATGCTGCATCTGTCAAATCACGCTGCTGTTCCTTCCTTCATCCTCAGGAGAGTTCTCACACAAATCAGGGCCAAATGGCTCCTTCAGAGGCAGTAAAGATAAATGCTAAAAATTAATGTGTCTTCTACAGTACCAACAGTGATCTCAGCCTTACATAAGAGTAAAATGCAGACAGCTCCTCATTTCAAAGAGATTTCGATTCAATTATCCAAAACGGGGAAGAGACAGGATGTAGAAGGAAGGAATAGCTGGGAGGGTTTTGGTTTCATTGGTGATTGTTTTAATTGCATTTCCTTATGGAGTGCTGCATCTTTTATCATGTTCCAACTGGAAGAAGTCTCGGGCTCTGGGAGTAAATCACAGAGCTGGGAGCTGCCTGCTTTTTTTAACAAATTTGGTCCTCGAGATACCCAGGACAGGTTTGGAAATCGCCCTCATGGTGGAATGCTGAGAATGCTTTGGTACTTTGGTATATTTTCCTTTGTGAACCATCTCACCATTCCCAAGAGTTACCCTGAGCTGCCTATGCCATCTCTGAGCTGAAAATAAAGGTGGCCTGACAATAAAAACAAGCTGTTTTTGCATGCTCAGTTCATAAAATATCATTTAATACAACATTTATGTTGCATTTACCAAAGCCAAAGGACAATCCACAGATACTGCTGGGAATTATAAATTAAAATTTGGAAAATCTCTGTGTTTGGAAAGGCTCTATGACCAGAGAATATCATGATCTCTGCTACCAAACTTCAGCAAAGTTTTCTAGAGCTATCCCAGGTGTCACATCCCTGCTCCATGGGATGAACAGGCACAGTCCCCATCCACCACTGCTGTGCAGAGCCCAATTTGATGAAACTTGTAGGAAATGCAAGGATTTTGAGCCTGGCAACACCTGTCTGAGCAGGCTGAGCTCCCTGCAGTGACATTCACCTGCCCATGCATGTACAAGAACCTGGTCTGGCTTTATTCTGGCTGAAAAGTTATTAATTCACCATAAAACTGCAAAATCCCTGGGCTGCCAGTGGATTTAGGCTTCAAGATGGAGATTTACAGGCTGAAGAAATCCCCAGTGTATTTTGGTGTTTATCTCTGTTTGTAGAGCAGCTCAAGGGCAATAATTGACCAAGAAGGTTCAGTGATCTCAGAGAAAAGCGTGTGGCTTCTCTTGATTTTCCAAGGATGAACTCCTTGTGTTGTCTGGAAAATCATCAGGTTAGGAAATGCTCAATTGAGAAGGAGCTGCCAATGAAACCAAGATGAGGCTGTGGGAGCAGGCAGAAGGGGTCACTCTGATGAAAACTCTGCAATAAACTCCTGCCTTACAATATTCCAAGTGAAATCATGAGGATCTTTACCATAATTCAAGAGTATCCTGAAATTTATTCTTTCACTGTTATCCATGTGAATCAGTAGGAAAGCACTTGCTTTCTGTAACTTCACCAAACCACCAAATCAATTTTTTTTTTCTTTCATCTTGCTAAGAAAAAAACAGTATTTTGCTCCAAATAATACAAATAATTTCTTCCTCTGTTGGCTCCTCTTTCTCCAGTGGCCATCCCAAACTGGGAGAAAAGCAGCAGGATCCTCATTCTAAGAGAGGAATCCCTGCAGGTGCTGCTGAGCTCCCTCCCCAAGCCAGTTCTGGCTCAGTTTGCAATCTCAGCCTCGTGTTTGAGAGCAATTTCATCCTCGTGATGGTTTTGTACTATTGATGCAGCATCTTCCACTGAGCTCTGGTCAAAACTCCCAACTTTTGCAGAGCCAGCTTGGTTTCCTTCCTCCTGCAGTGGAATTACAGCTGCTGTGCTGCAATTTTRRCTGCTCTGTGTCACAAACTGTATYAGCAGATATCCTTAGAAACAACTCYACAAGATGTATCCATGAGCAGGGCAAGGAAAACACTGGTGTTCATTGCTATTGCCTAAATTATTCATTTATTTTATTTCCTTCTGGTCTAAATAAAGAATGCCAGCCAAGCCCAGATTGCCTTGATAGCTCTTGTATTGAATAAAGATGCTTTTAGGAAATCATTCTGTCCTCCTCTTTCGGAGGCAAAGCAGACAAACCATTCTTTTATTTAAAGAGAATTTCCATCAGTTTTGGAATGTGTTCAGCCTTTCAAATGGAAGGGCAGAAAGAGGCATCATGTTTCCTCTCCAGTCCATATTTTAAGAGCCATGCCTAGAATCCTCTTCAATCCCTACAAATCTGGGCTTTTCCAACTCCTCATGAACACCGAGAGTGAGATCTGAAAATGGAGAAATATCAGCTTTTTGCAGCCTGAAAACCTCCCATCCCCGGGCAGATATGAGGTTAAATTTGTGTTTAAACAAACCATTTCAACTTGCAGTTAAGATGCAAAACCTTGAAGCAACTGATACAGGTAAATTAAGCACACAAATAAATGTATCTTTTGTGGGAATGAAGACTTTAATGCTTATTATACCATTCACACCTTTCTTAGATCGTTGTGATCTTGCACAAAAATCCCTAATGGGGCCAATATAATAAATTTTGCCCTAGCAGCTAAATTTAGAGGCTTTCCTATGAAAAGTGTAGTTGATCATTAATCTTCCAACAGCAGAATCTTTTAATGGAAACTCTGGTAGTCCAATTTCTGTGGCTAAAGGAATCCTTAGGTCACAGGAAATCAAAATACTTTAATGCTGCAATGCATCTGCCAGGTGAAATGTACACAAAAAGCACATTTCTGATAATCCAATAATTAAATAATGAGTAAATTAAGAATTATCTGTGTTGTTTAAGTCAGGTCTGACATGAAATGAGATGCAGAAAATAGACTTTTTCATTTTCTTTCACTATTTTTCACCTTTTTTACTCTCTCACAAGCCCAGGTCTGGCTGGCTCGAGATGCAACAAAACATTTAGCAGGAAGAGCTTCTGTTATTCCTGGCACAGTTGGGAGCAGGAGTTTCCAGAGAGTCTGGGAGTTTTCTGGCCGAGCCTTTGGACTCAAGAGGTTCCTCTAAACTCCAGATATCACATTCATTCCCACATTCAGCCTCCTGMTGCCACCAGCCTGGCACAGGATGAGGTTTGTGACATGGCACGAGGTGCCCTCCCATTTGTACCCACACCTGTAAAGATCTCCCCTATATCTACAGAGTATTTGATTCAATTACTCTGAAAAAAAATTATCTATATTATCTTTAATGGCAAAAAAAAAAAAATCCAGCCTGAAAAATATCATAACAGTCCTTAACTTTTTATTTTGAGCTTTGAATAGGCTGAGTTCTGAGCTATTAATTTTAAAATGTCTCCTCTGATTTTTTTTTTTTTCTGAAGCACAGGGTGAAGACTTTCTGTAATTCCAGATGAAGCCACAAAACTGAGTGCAGCCATCAAAAATTAAAACCATCCTCTTTTTTCCAGAGCCAAACAAACAGCCTTAGCCAAAAAAATGGAGAGCAAAACCTAGACCGACCACTTGCACAATGGCTGGGCACGGGTCAAAAATTACCATTAAAAATACATCTTCAATGCCAGAAATAGCTAAAAACACCAGGTCACTGAGGTATGCTGCAAGAGCAAACATCCTGCACTAAGAACATTAATTGCAGCCATTAAAAATAAACACTAAAACTTGGAATACCATTAACAAGTACAGAAAATAGCTCTGATCTTAAGATACAACCACGGCTCATTAAATGAGACATCTTAGAAATGCTCCATTTTAACCCTATCARCACCCCCACTGGAGTGCATTTTACCAAAAACAGTATAAATCCATAAAATGTTTTATGAGTACAGAACTGGCTTGTGGTGCAATTATTTCCCTCCCCCTCTGTGAGAACTGTRGCAGGAATTTTATCCAGCAGTAAATAAATCCAATATATCCATAGTTGGTATAGCACATTCACTGGGCAGAGTGACAGCACAGCCATGAAAATTCCT